GCTGAAGAAGCAAAATACTGAAGACTTCCCAAAATCTCTAGGTTTTTTGGATCCTAAAAATTTTGCAAAGCCTGCCAAACTTGATTAGTAGAAGATATCCAAAAAAAAAAAAAAAAACGGCCAACCCAAATCACTTGAAGTCTCACCAAAAAAAATTTCAGCTCGATCGCACTTGAAATGGCGGAGAAAAAGGGGAAAAACTGGTTTTTGATACCCAAAAAACTAGTTTCGAGAAAAATGCAAAATAAAAAAAACTTTTAGAAAAATTTTTTTTCCGCTTATACGTAAATATAGGTATACCATATCATAATATAACTTTATGCTAAAAAAAAAAATTTTTTTTTTAATGCATAGGTCTCCAAAAAACCTGGTTTTCCAGAGACTTTCCGACCTTTGATGGTTCTGATTTTCGTAGCACACATAGAGGGGACCTTGATACACCTTTACACGAAAAAAAAAACCATCTTTTTGGCTCAGGAAAGGGGGAGGGGTCCCCTTAAGACAATAATCTTTTCTGTTTGATAAAAGTGAATTTTAAGTAAAATAATATCATCTCGAAGATTTTTCAGATTAAAATATTGATATGTATCTGTCACATGAATTACAATAGCTGCATTTTTTTTCCGAAAACGATATAAAACAGAAAAAGTTAGGAGGTGTTCTAAGTGATTCAATATGTTCTATAATGTGAAAAAATCAAATCAAAATTTTGGCGAAAAGTTTTCTAGTCTTGTAAACCAACATATGAAGACCTAAGTAAATTTCTCATGGTTATATTCGAAATTCGTATGGTCGATAGCCTACATTTCCATTATCTTTCGATAAGACAACAATCGTTCAATTGAAAATCTTTTTCTCATTCGCATCTGAAAAACAATTTCTGTTAAATATTTTTTGAGAAAGGTCTTTTCGGGCATACAAAAAACTTTTCGTTCGATTATTAAAATACCATTCCTATCATAGAACAAAATTTTTTTGTATAGATCAATTTCTATCAAAGGAATTATTCTATTCGAATAGTTCTTTAGTTCATTTGATCTCAAATGAGAACTGATCGATTCCTACTTACTATTTAAAAGTCAACTTATTAAAAAAAACAATATATTGACTATAATATAAAAAATATCTATGGATAGAATATTGTATTGAAAATCAAATGATTATTTTTATCGAGAAAAAACAACAAATCTTGCTAATAGAATCAGTTTCAAGGGAAATTCTTTATATGACAAATGTTCTCTTGAGAAAATTCTTTTTGTTACTACCTTATGTGACAATATATATAACGAATTGTTCGTATTCATTGATTTTATATGACATAAGAATTGTTTCGATAAACTTTTTCTTTTTATAGGTTTCCTTTTGCAAACTTATTATTATTCAAAATATTGATATGTCAAATGGTTCATCATAAACGATTACGTTCGTTTCGTGATGAAACAATAACAAAAAAAAAATATTTAAAAAGGATTTTTTCAGGTCAATTAATATACGTACACTCACTTAACCTTTTGCATTACTCTTCTACAAATTGACATAGTTCGTATTTCGTAGATCGTATTCTTATGGTTTAATATACCATAGAAAATATTTAAAAAAAAAAATTTACTCTATGTATAATCAGCATATAATATGGGTAGAAAATTTTTCATTTATTTTTCTTAATTAAGTATTTAAAATTTAAAGCAAAAAAAAAAGCGGCTTCTCTTCTCTCTTTTTTTTTTCTTTACCAGTTTGCTTTTCTTTTGGTATTAAGTGTTCTGATGAATTTGTTGATATTGTTCGTTCAACATCATTTTCATTTTCATTTAATTGTATTTCATTATTAATCGAAATCATCGTATCATTTTTTTGCATAGTTTCAATATTAACATTAGTATTTGCATTAAACGGTATTTCAATATTATCGACAACTAAAATATAAAAAAAAAAAAAGAAGAAGAAGATGAAGACATGTGGATATATAAAAATAGAACAGTAAAATAAAACACTAATAATAGCAATAAAAAACAACCACCAAAGAACGACAAAGAAACGAAATCATCTAGGCTTTTTTTTTTCTTTTATTCTAACCAAATAAAAACCATCATATCAATGTGCGTTAGCACGTACAAATACCTTTTGTTGTATTCTCTCATGTCTACGTGTGTCATACGCGTGTTTTGCATCTAATTTTTAATATCCTTATATACCTATAAAGTTCATCTTCGACATGTACACATATATATGTATATCTGCACTTCATTAGATGTTCATTGTATGTATAAAGGGAAAAAAAAGTAAAAGAGATGAGCCTTTTGGAAGGGCGAGAACACACCGAAGGATTAGTTAATAACCCAATCAGTACAGATTGAATGGGAGTAAAATGAGCGGATGGACATTGTACATATGCCTAATGATATAGTGAAGATATAGAACGAAAGAAATTTAAGTATAATTGAACTCAAAAAATATACTCGTGACTAAGAGCATTTTTGATCGTTTCTCTATATATTTCATATCGAACCTGCATAACAGTTTTTTTAACCTTTGATCGATACGGTAAAATTCAATGGAAGTGAGAAAAAAAAAGAAAGTTTCTATTTACTATTGTCTTGAAACAATGATGAAATATATTCTTGGTTATTATTATTATTATTATTATTATTATCATCATCAAATATAATTAATTGATTTGTTTGTAAATAATTTAAATTATCATCGGATAAACCAAGTGCTGAATCTTTTGAATAAAATGTTGATGTTAAAAATTGATTTGTTTTAGTTAAATCATCAATTGATGATGTTGTTGTATCTATATGATGATCTGATTGATCTAATGAATCATGACTATTTGAAGAGTATTGAAATTTTTCATAGACTATATATGATGGCAAATCATTTGTATTTATTGTTGGTATTTTATTAGGAATTGTATCATCATCATCATCATTATTATTATCATCATCATAGTTTAACATTCTTCTTTTGTCGCTTATTACCTCTAGAAATGAAAAGACAAAAGAAAAAAAAGAAATACATCGACTTGGAACAACTTTATGTGTGTACATTTTTAAGTATTCTTTCAATGCTCTAGCGTCTTCATTTAATAGACTATTGTCTAAGTACTTCATATCTTCATCAAACAATACAAGAGGTAAAGTTGAAAGGAAATCTTATGTTTGATTTTTGATTGAAAACAACAATTCATCTTTTTTCTTTTTTTTTTTTTTTTTTGGCTACTATTAAGCATTTGAATTGATGACTTACTTTGTAGAAATATGTGACCTCCTTCATGATTGAACAGCAATCGAAGATAAAAAAAAAAAAAAAAGAAAACGAGTGACGATGAAATATATTCGATATAATTTTTTTTTCCTTTTTCTCTCACCTTGTACGATTCAAGAGCAATGACACATATGTATACATACATCACTTATTCTCTATGTTAGTAATAATAATAAAAACTCACCTTGACCATCATTTTCAATCGATGATGTTATTGATGATAATAATGATTTTGATCGTTCATTTATGAAAGGAATTTCGTTTTGTTCATATAATATTGAAGGATTGATCTTTTCATAATTACTATTGATAATATATGTGTCAAAATCGACCTTTTCACAATTAAAACTTGAACTTGACATGTCTAGTAATGAACAAAAAGAGAAGAGAAAGAGAAACGGAGACTGAATGTCTCTATTGTTTATTCATTGAACTATCATTGCCATCAAAGCCGATTGTTCGTTCTTCTCTATTCTAACCTTGATTTATGCAGCTGTGGCCTCGAATGGATATATGTTTATAGTTTTCTTCTTCTTTTTTTTTTCTTCTTCTTTCTTCATCTTTATTGAAAAGGAAAAAACAAACAAGGAGCTCGAAAGAGAAAAAAAAGAGAGAAAGAAGAAAAATGATTGATTTTAGTGCTATTGAAGGACTTATTCTTGTCGAAAGAATTCAAGTATACGAAAAATATTTGTTACTAATATAAAAATGTACATGGAACGACTCATAGTACAGTGCTTTTCTTTCTTTCTGTTATTTCAACATTCAAATTATGTCATGCATAACTGTAAGAGTGAGTAGAAAATCCAATATTTCATATATATATATATATATAGCATTATAGGAAAATTTCTAAAGTGAATGAAGTAAACAATATATAGATCAATTCATTGACTAAAGTAATTTAAATAACAACATTCTATGATAGTTTTCTTAAGCTTGAAATCGATATTTGACTCTCAGAAAAGTGCAAAAGAGCAGGAGTAAATAGATACAAGAATTAAGTGGATATTAGGAGTAAATAACAACTAAGATTGAAATTTCATTTAATAGAAGAACAAGCCAAGACTAAGTTTATCGAAACTATGAGAATATAAGTTAACAAAATCTGAAAAATGTCATGTCAAACATTATAATAAATACAAAAGGTGAATATTTTTTTTTTTGTCAGTCTTAACTATCTCTGTCTAATATGATTTAAGCGAAATTCAAAAAATTGATTCAATATAAAAGAAAAGAAACGAATTTTTACCATTGAAACTATGTTCATCATCTTGTTCTTCATCATATGTAAATATTTGTGTTTGAGGAAGATCAATATTATCATTTTTTGATATATTTTGTAAATTTAAATTATCAAGAACAGTTATAATTTGTGATGATGATGATGTATTAATTGTACTTTGTGAAGTATGCATTGATACAATTGATGATGAACGACTTGATAATATTGATTCTGATTGATGTTGATTTGTATCCGAAAGAAATGTTGTAAATGCACGATCTATCCATTCACCGAATGTTGGTAATTTAAATTGAAATTGTGAAGGAATTATTGAAGAATGATTTATTAATAATGGTTTTTCTGATGTTATTATTAATTCATTTGAATTATATTTTATTAAATCATTATCTTCATCTTCATCACTTATTATTTCAAGTTCATAAGTTTTATATAAATTATTTTTAGTTGAATTATTAATTTCATGTTGAATATTATTTATTGATATTATTGTAGGTTCACTTTTTTCTATAATAGATTTATTTATTACAAATTGTTTATTAGATAATTTAGATTCTTTTTCAATTAATGAATCATCTGATAATATAAATAAATCATTATGATCTGTTATTTGTTCCGATGGTTGTTCATCAATAGTTAATGTTGTATTTTGTTGATAAAATTTTTGTTCACTTCCAATATCAACACCTGAATCTATAGTTATTTGTGAATATTCTGTTGATAATATTCTTGAACGATATGTTGTATTAATTTGATTTATATTTTGTTCATTATTTGAAGATAATAAACGTGTATTTAATTTTTCACGATAATCTTCAATTTTTGTTATTGATCGATCAATATCTTCAAAATAATGAGAATTTAATTCATCAACATCTTCATCTGTACTAGCATATGATATTTGTTTGGATTTAGATATATGAACAGGTTTTGATGAAGGTGTTGATGATGAATGATTAGTTTTTTCATTAGGTATTATAGATAATGATGCTTTAGTTTTATTACGATGAGATGATGTATAATCAGGTACAATTGAATCTATTTGTTTTGAATTGGTGTTCATTGAAGATTTTTCTAATACTAAATAAACAGAAAGAAAAAGAAAAACACACATATATATATATATTGAATAGTATTGTTGGCTGGTTATTTGGGGGGGGGGGGGGATAATAGATAAAAAAAGGTTTTAGATAAAGAACGAATTGATTCTATGATATGAGTTCAATATTGGAAAATGTATATATAATGTTTTATGATAAAGTCTTATTTTCAAAGATCAGAAAATTTCATAAGAATGAATCATATAAGTTTAGTCTTTTGGAGAGATTAGAACAATGAACACGAAAAAATTTAAGCATGGGAAAAAAAACTATGAAAGTAAATTTGGGTTATTTCAAGCAGAATGAAATACAATCACCAATCAATAAACTTTTCGGTGTAAACATACGTTAAAATGTTGATTCTTTCAACTGACTATTAATTAATTAACAAGTGACGACTATATACTAGATTATTTATTATTAAGAGTGGTCTTTGTTCTCTCTTGATTATTTTGCTAGTATATACTTGCAAAACGATTAAATGGGATGAAAAAAAAACGAGACCGCCCTTAGTAACAAATAAGCTAGTAGAAGGCCACTTTTTATTCATACGTATGACTAATAATCTATTCGTGAATACTATTTTAATTAATTAATTAAAAACTAATTAGTGAATATCCCTCTAACCATATGAGAAAAAATTCAAGATAAACTGTAACAACATGAACCGCATCTATAGTAAAGTATCGAGCTAGATCGAGCTTTAAAAAACTGGTTTTCTAGAGATCCTATCAAATCCTCGAAAGAAAAATTTTTATCTTATTATCATATAAAAATTCTGAAGAAGAATTTAGACATGCTCAGAAAACAAAATTTCAATAGAGATTTTGTAATCTGAAGAATTGTCTACAGGATAAGTTACTTAGTTTTCAAAAATACTGTTTAAATTCAAAATTTTTTCTTAAACTAAAACTTACGTATGAAGTCAAAGTCTATATTGGTTTTTTTTTGTATCACGTCACTAATGCTAGATTTTTTTTTTTTTTACTGATAATTCCTTTGAACAAAGATATCCAGCGTTACTTTTTTCGGGATATCTAGAATAACTTAACATAGATATGACATATAAAAATTAGCTCTAGGAAAGTTTATCACTTCGAGATACACGTTTTTTAATGTTGCAAAATTACATTGCTAAGAAGTAATTTAATCCATATTACGTCTATTGTAGGATCAATGAATGTATATCTTTGTGCTCTCATCGTTCGTATCTCACACTCACCCTTAAGATGTATAGTTGTCAAAAACAAACCTATACTCGCTATCGGGAAGATCTACTTCCCAGATATACATGGTCAATTGTATATAACGTACAGATTAGAGAGTAAAAAAAAAGGAAACGACAGTACTTCCGAAGAAATGATATATTATATAGGTCGTAATAATGTGAAGGATGGAGAACATTTTGACCTCAATGACAATACTCCAAGAAAATCATTTGCTTTCTATGATGTGGAAAGGAAACATTTAACAGCTTTAGAATTTGCATCAACTTTAACGCATCATAGATTCTTTTCTTTCTTTCTTTCTTTTTTTCTTTTGTATATTTGTAGCAGTCGAAAGCTTTTATGATGATTGTAAATAACACCTTATGAGAATACTCAATTCAAGACATTCATATATATATATATACTTATATTATATCTGATATCTAGTATTAATATGTTTATAAAGAACGGCTAGTTGAGCATTCAGAAAGTATTCGATATTTATACTGTTAAATATTATTTATAATATACCGATAGAAAAATGCTTTAAAATTAGTACATAAATAAAGGTTAATATGTTAATTAACACGAGTTATTTTTAGTTTATTAAAATGTTGGCAATTTCAAATTGGAGCAAAAGTGTTTTTTTTTTCTCATGATTGGATAGAATTGGTCAAGTTACCTATAAAAAATGTTGTTTTTTAAAATTATTCAGACGATGTTTCTGTAATGAAAGTGAGATTACAAAAGTCTATAGAAACTGAAATACACGAAAAGTATCAAGTCTCAATATGTATTCAAATATTTCTCTTCTCATATATTTAGGAAATAACTTATTCATTCTCTTTAAAAAAATATTGTCTAATCGTTGACAAATCGAGTTTTTTTTTCGGTATGAAAGCAAAATAAAAACAGCGATAAATACAATTTTGTATTTCAAGATTTTAAACATCAGAACTTCAGCTAGAGTTATAGGTATTTTACTAGAATTTTAGCCTCTGGCTTGGTACATATCAATTAGCCAAATAATAGTGTTTCGACTTGACATTATTGCTCACAAGCAGATCTATTTGCGAGAAGAATGTTTCCTTCTTGAGATATCAAAATTTTAGCATCTCTCTTGTAATATGAATAATTTGTAGAACTTTAATATCTCAGGAAGGAAATATGTTTCTAAGCTGAAATTTTCAGAATATTCTTCTCATAAATACTTTTATCCGTAGGCAAAATCTCATGTCGAGATTCACCATAGCGGAGACTAAATTCTAGTAAAATGCCCATAATTCTAAACAGAAGGCGTATAAAGATTTATCCTTTTAAATATTTTCATATCTCACTGAGGTCTACCTTATGTATAGAATCCGAATTCAAAAGCGACTGATCAATGACAAGGGTTCCCTCGTGAATACAAACCCTTATTGGTGACTTTTTTCTTTTGTTATCATATCGAAAAAACATGATGCTTTGGACGTATTTTTTGTTTAAGACGAGTTCTATTCCACCATAACAAGACACCGACTCGTAGAAGTGGGTGTTAAGAAAGACATTTTATTCCTAAATAGTTTCGGTCGATTGTTTATGTCAATCATGATTAATTAATTTTCTCTATCAGAACCTGTAGTCGAAATTTATGAATTAACAAACAAACGTTTCATAATTTGTCGAAAATACCCATTTTTTTTAGTTCCGTTTTTGATCAATTTTGAAAAGATTTCTTTTCAAGATAACATTAAATATGATACCTTCGTGAGTCTTGTTTAATAGATTTGTACTATTTTTCTGATGAAAAATGAATGGTGCCGAATGATTATTTTGTTCACTAGATGATCCAGTATCTGTATGATTATCTGATAAAGTTTGTTTTTGATATTTTTTTCTTAAACGATTATGTTTATGTAAATGATGATCACTATGCCATTTAGTTTTTGAATATCGAAATTGTTTACCATTTCCTTCAATATTCCATTGTATATCTTTTGTTTTATTTAATAATGATGGTTGATAACGTTTTGTTGTTGTTATTGATATTATATTTCCATGAGAATTTTTATGATTTTTATTTTGTTGTAATAATGTTGATGAATAAAGTAAATTAGATGCTGATCCAGTAGAATTTTGACATGATGATGTAAGAATAGAATCAGGTAATGTTTCAAAATTTTGCCAATAATCAATTTGACCACGTTGTAAAATTATATTTCGTGATGATATTGGTAGAGAACGTTTTTTATTATTAATTATTGGTGGAATTTGTTCAATTGAAAATTTTGGATAAATATTATTTTCTTCATCTTCGATATTATTTATATTTCGATTTTTCCAAACATATGGAATTGTTTTTGTTAAACCAAATGAATTTGTTTGATTATTTGTATTTGTTACTTGTATAAGATAAATTGATGATGATGATGATGGTGATTGAGGAGATAAATGATTTGATTGATTAGTAGAAACTAATCCTGAATGTTGATGAATTTGAGAATATTGTTTTGATTGAAGTTTTTCAGAAGTATTTGATGATGACGATGATGAAAGTGTTTGACAATTTGAAGATCGACGATTTGTTGAATGAGATTTTTTTCTTAATGGAGAAAGTGATTGTGAAGAAGATGATGATAAAGAACTAGATGTTGATAAATCATTCGATGTTGATTTAGACTTTGAATGGCGACCTAGATAAAACAAAAACAAATATTTTCTCTTTAAAATTAATGAAATTATTTAAAATATAATCATATTGTTATAAGTTTTCAGCAATCTATCATAGTGATATTATCAGAAAAAAGTTATAGATAAGGTAAAAAAATCTGGGATGCTGCTCCACGAAGATACACAAGCCTCTGTTGCGAAACATGATCTACAAGGAGTGTCGAAGTATAGAAGTAGAAATTCGAATACCGGCATTCTAGCATTCCATCACAGAGTGTGACAAATGCTCGTCAGAAACAATTACAGTCCATGATAGACACTAGCCAAGGACCATAAAAAACCGTAGCAGATGCTTGTCGAAGGCCGTGAAAGACCTTATTTATATACTATCAAAGATCATATATCAATAACGTCTCGTTATAATATATGAACTATTTATTACATCTCAGAAGGACTAAACAAAAGAATATTAAAGAAATGTATCTCGAAATAATCTTCCTATGGTTAGCAATAGCAGCTACATCGTGTTTCACATTTTAATCTCACAGGTTGCGTTAACAGATTTTTTTTTTTCTATAGTCTATCGATTAAACAGGAGACTAATCATGATGTTTAGATTATAAAATTGTATTTAAAAATTTAATACACATGGTTTGAAATAAAGCATTTTATTTTTGTTGTTCTGATCGAGCAACAAAAAAAGAGGACGAGTAGGAGTTTTAAGTATCCTTGAAAAATTGATTTTGCCCTAGGTACATTCAAACCGCATGAAATTTTTACTTCTGTAATATGACGCTTTAGGAAAATATTTGTCAAACAAAAGTAAAAAAAATTATTTCATTTAGCAAGTTAAAATTCTTTGTAGGTTTTATATTCTTCACACTTAACGTTTTTGTTTGCAAAAAGATGTCAGGATGTGCAGCATGACAAAGCCGAATGCCTCGAAAAACTCTCAAAAAATGACGCTGTAATGATAAAACTACTATTTTATATAATAGTAACAAAGTTCAATTGAAAAAAAAAAAGGACTACTGTCATGCGCTACATCTTGACATGCTCTTTCAATAAAAAAAAAAAAATATTAAAATATAGCATGAAGGCTCACAAAAAAGCATATTTATCAAGCAGAAAGTGACAGAAGTCAACAAAAAAAAGGTCATGTCTTTTATGAAAGATTAAACCTTGATGTATTTATCTCAATTTCAATATTTCTTAATACAGCGTAGTCTGCATTTAAACTCATCTCCTAGTTTTGTAATTATTTATGATAGTAGAATTTAAAAAGATAGTTTCTCAAAGACTCAATGCAAATAATTTAGTTGAATAATCTCATTATAAACTCGAGACTTTTACAGATCTAATCTTCATCATCGATTTGATTATATCATTGTTCGAATCATTATCATTGACACTTAAACATTAGTTTATCATCTTATTCTTTAATGGTTGACAGGAGGAGGCAACAAATATATATATATATATATATAACTACTCAACATGATACTCATTTTTCGTATAATCTTAAGTATTGAATATGTTGTTTTCTTTTAATTGTATGAATATCATTAATTAAAAAAAATATTGAAAATCTAAGCAAATACTTATAGAGTTTATATATCTCTTACTTTTTTATTACTAAAGATCGAATAATAAAAAATAAGAATATAAAAAAAACATATGTAAACAATCGAGATCATCTTTTAGTTATATATAACGAAAAGAAAAACCATATATTGTTTACTTGAGGATATAGATGACTTATATTTTGATATTACTACTATCTAAACATAATGAATGATTGTATAATTGCCTTTGGCAAATAAAATGTTTGTATATGATCTTCGATCTTTTGTTAATACGTAGGAGGAGAATATCATGTTTACAGATTTAAGTCGTTTTATATTTTTATTTCTATTTGATTCTTAATTATTAATAAATTACTTACCACGTAAAACAAATATTGTTTTATTAACACAAGTACTGATTGAAGGAAACATAGACATCTTTTTTTTTTTTGTTCTCGTCAGTTGAATGAAACTACTATGTTGTATTATAACAAAGTGACAGTAAAGACAATGAGTATCGGTTTCGATCGATTTAAAACGTATGTTTCAAAATGTAATACATAATGTTAATATTAATCGTTTATAATCGACGCCGCCTACTAAGTAATGACATTAGAAACAAAAAAAAAGAGAAAACGACTTGATCATTGTTCATCGTATGTTTCTCTTTTTTTTTTTTTTCTCTTTCGTTCGTCGTTTTTTTTTTTTTTTTTTTTTTGGTGATCAAGAGAAAGATTTATGACCACAAACACGCACATACGATCACTAATTATACATAGTAGTCTTCTATCTACTTTTCTTCCGTTCACGATCATTACTAGTAGATAGATGATTGACTAGTAAAGAAAACAAATTGGCTTTATTATATTAGTCAGACTGACTTTTCAGGAATAATAATAATTCTCTTATGAATTTCAATCGTAGTTCATTGATCATCCTGATTGATTCGAGCATACAAGTACATAAAAAGTAATCAATGACGCACAAATAGTAATGGTAGACATAATCGAATATACTTATACCACCTTACTATTGTTCTACTATTATTATTGCACTTTGATCAAATTACTCTAGAATGTTGGTGAACAGAGTCTGTTTGACCGGAAACGACCATATTAATGAAAAAAGAATCATTGGTGTGATCATCAAATTTCTTGATCGGATACTTTTTTTCTCATTTTTCAAGCAATTTTCATTATTTTCTATGTGTAGATGTGCAGATGACGAAACATATATACAAAAGAATATACTATCCAGGTGAATATGAAACTCATGTATATTTATTTCTTGAAACTAATTATAAATAAATCTATACCACACATAAAGAGTTCAGTCTGTTCTGAAGCAATTCGTTTGATAATAATTGTTGCTTATCAATGATATTTTAAGATTATTCTATTGAAAAAATATATATATCGATTGTAACTTCCTTTATTCGATAATTACTCGTACCATTTATTTCATATGTATTGTAGAAGAATAGAAAAAAAATAAGAAATAACATTGCATTCTTTGTCTGTTACTAATATCAACATTTCTATAATACCTTCTGCTTTGAACAATCAATCATTCGAATTTTCGATTATTCGTGATAATACTGTCTACAGACATGATTGAGAATCAATGACAATAATTTAAAAAAAGAAAAGAAAAGAACTCAATCTACTTATACTAATTTCGTTTTTTTTTAACTTTATCATATTTAGATTGATAAGAATATCGTATGTCTATAGGATATTCGTATTCTTTTTTTTTCTTTTTGTTGGTGTTGTCTTTAGAGATTATTAACAATGAAGCACGATAATGTATATCTATATAAAGAAACATCAATGACTGAGAGCAAAAGGAACGATGTCACCTCGATTTCTTATTATTGAAAAAAAGAAGAAATTTGATAGTATATCACAATAACCTAACGTAATCCCTACATTTAATCATTGACTAAATATAGTTAAACATTCATTCAATCTCAATCTATTGTTCTTCTTCTTCTTTTTCATTCATAATCCTATTTCTATCATTATTAAAAATAAAAGAATCGATTTAAATCAGACAAAAAAAAAACGATTGAAACACTATTCCTATACCTTCTTTATATCGATATCGTCGTTGTCGTTTATCTGATATTGATATATTATGTTTATTTTTTTTCTTCTTTTTTATTAATATTTGTTCATCCATATTATTTAATTGATTATGATTTGTTTTTATATTCCTATTCTCATTTAATGATGTAGTTTCATTATCAGATATGATTTGCGATGTTCGATCAGCATCATCATTCAAACTAAAATAAAACAAAAAAAAAGATTTTTTTTTTCTCTTTATTCTGAACAATCGAACTGACACCTGTTCTATGATTAATAACAAATGCTTTTTTTCATATCAGTTATCATATGATTCAATCAAACAAACAAAAAATAGAAGAAGAAAAAGAAAAACTTGAAATTAAAATTACTTGTTGATATAAATAGCATACTCTAACGAAAATAATCCACATGATAAACTTACAAATAAATAAATAAAAATGAAAAAAGTGAAGTAAAACTTTTTTCTTTATTTTGTGTATGCTTGTTACTTCTTTTTCTTCTCTGATAGATGAGGAGAATTTTCAAGTATCGAAAGAAATCTTATCCTTGAAGTATGCAAAGTAGAAATAGAAACGACTTTCAAATATAACAAAAAAAAAGAAAAGAAAAGAAAAGAGATCTGTCTTCTTTACTAATAATCAATACAAAAGTAAAATTATAAATTTCGTTTTATTGAAAAAGAAAAAAAAAGAAATTCTTCTATGGTGATTCAATGAATATTAAATATTATCAAATTGATATAGTTTACGTGTAAAGCTTTTTCTATTTCGTTTTCATCTGTATACCAATGAACAAGAAACCATAGAATAGATTTTGAAAAGAAAAAAGATTGTGCTTGACAAATGAATTCCTTTTATTTTGTTGGTGTTCTCTTCATTTCATAGACAATGTGTGAATTTTAATACAAGATCATGATTTTATCTTTTCTTCTATTGATTGAAAAGAAAAAGTTCCTTGAAAAATCACACCTCTTTTTTTTTGTTATATGACAAAGTAGTTTATATTATAACAAAGAAAATTGTGCGTTTACAATAGATTTTCTTAACAATAATAGTTGGACCTGTAACAATTCAAAATGTCTAGAATCGAGGCAATAGGCGACATCGGGAAAGAAATTTTCGTTCAAAAAGGAACGAATAGTTATATAAAGTATTCGTAACAAAAGAAAACTCAGGAAAGGTGACCATGAAGTGGCATTCATCGATGGGTGTGGCAGTGGTTAAAGAGTAGAGTCACATCGACACCCTACGTGAATAAAAAGTGACTGTTACAGGATGTATAAAAAAAAAAAAAGGGTTAATTCTGCATGTCTTTAGCAATGATTTCAATGTATGAAGAATATCATTGAAAAAAATGTTTATTTATTTTGAAAATATAAATAAAAACCTTTCAGATCTTTGTCTATCAATAGTAATCTTTCAATATAAACATACATATACAGAAAATATAAGGCCATAGAGAGAAAAAAGAATCTTTCAAACAATGAGACAAAACAAAAAAACGAAACCTTGAAATGAAAAATCACTTGATAAAATTGTGGAATACGCACACAAATAGATTTTTTATGTAAGTTTAGTTAAAATTTTTCTTTTCAATAAAAAGTACATACATTCATCTGAAGAGCTATTAGACAAAATAATACTTAAGTATTTCTTGTGTCATACGTTTGAGAAACTAAAGTATATGCAGAAGGATTTGTTTCTCGTAAGAGTTGGCTTTCTATTTTGTTTTTTTTTTTTTAAGTTCCTTACAGAACATATTGACATATAGAGTTATGATAATTTCAATATAGATAAATCTCAATTGGAAGAAGAAAATTTCATATCTGTAAGTATTTCGAATGTAACAAACATAGAAAATGATTAAATCTATATTTTATATTATTGATCTTATTTCTAAAGATGATATCATTTTTTCAAGGTCAATAAAATTTAAAAAAAGTGAATTTTTGTTAATAACGGAAAAAAAAAAAGTTCAAATTATAATTTATTCTAAATAGTAAATTTTGTGAGAAAGATAACAACTTTGAGATATTACATAAAAAGAATGTATTATTTTACATTGCTAAAAATATATATAAATATTTCCCAGTCTTATTGTTTTTGATTAAAAACGAAACCTTTTTAATAGCATCATTTTCTATGTTTTCATTAGACATACATTTGTTTTTTTAATTTACAAATATGAAATTATTTGTTTTTTCTTACCTATCTATTTCATATAGATCATCAGTTGTTTTTGTTGATGATGATAAACTAGGCGTGAATATTAATCGTGGAATTTTTGTTTTTTTATTTGACGATTGAATTTTAGTAATTGATGATAATAATGATGATGGTGAATAATTACTTATTGGTGTTGAAACTCTTACCGGTATTTTTGATGACGATTTTTTTCGTTCCATTGAATGAATTAATGGAGAATGTTCAGCAGATTTTGATTTTATTATAGATGATGATGATGATGAAGTATTTAGCACTGTTATTGACGGATCATGTGAAATAGCACGTCGTTTAAATTTAGTAATAGTACGCTGATGAATTGGTGTTTTAGCTCGCTCATGTTGATGACGAAAATCTGGACATGATGGATCATGTTTATGATGATGACCATGATCACGATGATGAATAGAACTAGATGATATATTACGAAAATCTTTTAATGATTGACATTTACATATAGCACAACGTGGACAAAGTGGTACTGGTATTGGATCATAACCTTGTAATAAAGGATCACGCCAATCACGAAGAGTTTCTGCAAAAACTAAATGTTCATTTGAAGGTGTTGAATAAATTTTAAATAAATTATTATCAGAATTTTTTGTTGACTCTGCCATTAATTATTGATAGTGTAATATTAAATCTAAGTAGAGACAATAGTGTAGTCTAAAATAGTTACATGTATCATAGACTATGTATTGTTCAATAGAGAATATATGAGAACAAAGAATAAAATAAAAGGTAATTGATTTCTTAACAAAGACGAAAGAGAACATAAAATACATTCAATTTTCATCTACCTCTCGCATTCATGACTTCAGGGTTGATTGGAACTTTTTGCCCTTCATTTTTAACGTCACTAGTGTAATTTATTAGAACAGACATTCTTTTTTGTTCTGTTCTTTCTTATTACTCTTCAAAATATCTGATCTTTCTCCGAGTACAATATGCATACTTAAACATAATAAACATCTCATTTATTACTATTCCTTCCAGCTAGAAATCACTTGGAAAAATCTCTCTTTCCGAAACGATATGCTAGTTTCCTACTTGATTTATGTCTAGAGACTCATAAAAAAAAAGAACAAGAACACTAAACGAAGAGAACAATACAATGCACAAAGATTGACTTATCATCACTTTAAAAGCAATTAATAAATGAATAGAACAAAAAAATGGTACCGGTAGATAAACTCTTTAATGAGATTAAAATTCACACATTGTGTGACTCGACATTATCCACACCGTCGTTTCATACTATTTAATTTAAGCCAAAAAGAAAGAAAAGAGATAAACAGAAAATTGCATGCAAATGCACACAGCAGGAGGCATCGATTAAAATGCAAGGTGAGATATTGTTTAAAAAAATGATTATTAATCATAGTTTTATGTTTTCAGACTATTGATAATTAGTCTAGCATTACCTTTTAACTTCCGTCAATTTTTATTTTCGAATACCTTGAAAATAAATGATTTCCGAGCGAATATTCATCAAAACAATCGATCGTATTAATGCATGCCAATTAAACTAAATCCATTTATCATGTCAATGACATACATTTTCAAAAAGAAAGAAAAAAAAAAGAAAAGAAGCCGAATGAAGATAGTATTATTCTGTTTTTTTTCTTTTTCTCTTACCAGAGATTTTCAATTATTTTTCATAATATATTCTCTCTCTCTCTCACGATAATAAAAAGACTTTGTTAAGTTTCTTTCTCGTTTTCTTTTTACATAATTTAAAAACAACAAAAACAAAAAAAGGAAAAAATATCAATAAAAAAAACTTTTAAAACTACTACATTCTTTTTTGTTTTCTATACCATTTTTTTTTTCATTTCTCACCTACAGAAGAAAAGTCGACTGAAGACAGTTACGAGCATGGCAAATTCTATCCAATTCACTTTTTCTCTTACTCATATACTTGCTCTCCTGCGTCAAGTGTTCGTTGAAAACAATAAGTGGTAGTGACGTGATAAGCTTGAGCAAAGACAAGAGTCTGATGTACAGTGAAAACGAAGAAGACGACAAGAGAAAAAAGAAAGAACTTGATGTAATTCTTACATCATTTATTATGTACATTTCTCAAGTTTATATTCTTTTTTTTTCTTGTATCTATTATTACAATAAATGATTTATTAAATTTATAAATTGTATTGTTATCTTCTTACTCAACAATATGATTCTAATTTTATTTTACAATAAAAATATTATAGTTCGAACAAACAAAAATAAAGCACGCAAATGTCAAAATGTAAACTGAACAAATAAGCTTGAAAGAGTTTTAATGGTTAATCAATAGAACGCATTCTGTTTTCTTCCCTTCCCATGCGCAAGTGCTACACCTCTGTCGATTAAAAAAAAAAGGATGAATAAGCAGTACTGGTGAATAAGTAGCAGGGAAAAAAAAGAAAACGTGTTCTATATGAAAAAGTTTTTTTTTTTCTTTCCAAACAATAGTACCTGATCGGTGTTGGTTTGATGATGTGAGTAGCCTACACGAGCTGTATATAGTAAGCATATTGGATTGCTTATTAGTGCTGATGTTTGACGATGAAAGAGCTTTGTTTTAATAGAGTTAGTTCCGTGCATATATATATATATTGAATGTGCTAAAGATAGAGCATATTTTTCATACACTTATCGTTGGTTACGTTATTAAAAAAGAAAAAGTGTAAATGAGAGAAAATAGTTCAAGTGTTTGTTGTTTTTTCTTATTGTTTCCCATAGTGATAAAAGTACCTTGCATTTAATCATATTATTACATTGTGTTATATAAGGGTTTCAACATAAAAAAGAAAAAAAAGAGGAAAGAAACCAAATTACATACGTATCGTTCATTTGCCTTTTATCACTACGACATACACTTCCGATCAGTGTTCAAAAAGAATCATGTATGATTGTTCAAATGTAAAATTTGTACTATTATTATTATTATTACAACACAATATTGAAAAGTGTTGCTTGGCATGATGATAGTCCTATATGTGTACATATAATACTTGTCATTGTTTCTTTCTTTTTTTTTCTATCCATTTGCATATCGACGAATGAAAATGTATGCAAAAGTAAATTGTGATACCCTAATACTAATAATATAGACACACTTTAAAAACAGATCTTTAAAATTTATCTTAGAATAATAATGTAATAATCAAATTTTAATTATGCGTAATGTAAAAAAAAATATGTTTTTTGCAACTCAGAGTTCTAATATATATGATCGATAAGATATACATATTATAAGATGTTGATGCTTCTTATTATAATGATTAGAAAAATGTATATATGATTATCAAAATTAAGAAACGATAAACAATGAATTTATGTTAAATCGATAATGTTGATGTAATAAAAAAAAATATTATTTAATAATTTGTATAAAATTATTTTAATGAATTTTTCAATCTGTTTTCTTTTTCTGTATAGACAACAGTGTTGTTTACTTGAACAGATACAAAATTGAATTGAATGTTCTATGTCACTATCCAAGTGAATGAAAAGGAAATGAATGCCATGTACAGTAGGCAACCAGGCGGACATAACCTCAAGTTCTATTTTCTAAACTTTAAATATTGGAATGAATACGTCTATGATTTGTCTATCTTACCATAAAATAAGATTCTTATAAATCAAGTCGAATCCTGGGAAAGTTTGTTGTTAAAAAATTGTTCATAAATTGATAATTAAATGAAGACTATTTCTTTTATCAGCTTATCAAAGTATTTTAAAATGAAAAGCTATTTGAAACGAAGCATTGATCCATAATCCTTGTTGTGTGAAAATGAGTTCGTTTGAATTAAAAATAGAATAGAAAAAAAAAAGTGATTACTCGGGCGAAAGTAAGTCGAAAAATCGATCATATAGTATTTTCTGAACGCTACAAAGAGGTTTAATCCGATTGAGCTTAAATTTTCGTCGATTATTCTTCCAAGTGGGATTTACCATTCATCATAGTTCCGTATTACCATCAATGAACACAAGACAAATGAAAGATCTCACGAACAACAAGGGTTCTAGCACTGAATCATCAGTTCTGCGAACATGAGAACATTTTAAGGGAAAGCCAAGGGGATATTCAATATTAGTTCGTCAAGCTATACTGAATCATATATAACAGTAAGCGTTCTTTAGAACAAAAAAAGTTGGTTTTTGTGCTCGACAAGGTTTTGAAAATAAGTCGTTTCGTATTTTTAAACGCTATAAAGACCGTGAGTGCGTTTGATCTCAAACTTTCGTTGATTGTTCTTTCATGTATGGCTCATCATTGACTTTAGCGCCATCTCACACTGATGAGCATAGTCGATTCTATGAGTCTTTCAAAAAAAAAAAAAAGAAGAGACTTCTGCTTTCAAATCCCTGTTTTTGTATGGAATGTATCATTTTGGTGCAACATCAAGATGAAATTTAGAATTAGCTCATTGAGCTGCATCGAATCATATATAGAATAAAAAGCTATATTGAAAAAAAAAAATTGTTAATCTTTATATTAAAAATGTGTTCAAAAATTAACTTTCTCAATTTTCTAAACGCTTCAAACAGTTTCAGGTAATTTGAACTCACACTTTCGCAACAAATAATCCTCCATGTAGAATTTGACGTTAGTTATTACACCGAACACCATTTTTATAATTCGATTAACTTACTGGTTTCCAAAAAGTCTGATTTTTGACATTGAATATCTCATTTTGTCTTCAAAATAGCATCCTAGCAGAAAACCAAAGCAATGTTTGTAATCAGCGCGTGAAAAAGAGTCGAATGATGTGCGGTACAATATACTTCTTTTCGAGAAAACATGGCAAGAGTAACCCACAGTTAATTTTCACGAAAATATTTTTTTTAATAAATGGCTTATTTTCTTAATGATGATTTTTTTTCTAATTGAAAGGAAACATTAATAAGTCGAAAAGTCTTAGTATCCAATAGAGGTTCACAAGATAGTTTTTAGATAAGGTAGGCATGTTCTATGTTGGATGAAATAGTTTTTTATACATGTATTTATTCTTATATTAATTATTATATATTAAAAAGAAGTTAAAGTTTTCTTTTTGTAAATTAACTTATTTTTTTTTATGGCTATATTATTGCGTATTACTGAGAGGTGCGACCTTATACCACAACCTGTCACGTGGCGTTGCCACCTGATCCAGAGAAACCCAACGTGCGTATTATGACGATAGCAGTGTACTACTCAGATAGGTCTTCTGTAAACATATAGATGCTGTCGTAGTCATTGTGCGTCATACATACGTTCATTGCTCTACCAACCCGGCGTGGTCCGCTCTGTAAGTACTCGTTTCAGGCTCATGGCGGATCTCCTGGGTTGCGCGCACACGAGTGTGACAATGAGTTGAGAAAAATCCGGCGGTAGTGGATAGCGATGAAAACTAGTTTATTGAAAAAGCAAGCAAAGAAAACCAGTTTACAACTTCATTTTTATATTGTCACACTACATAGTGTGTTGCTCTAGTAAACAAAAAAAAACTGGAAATCACAGCATAACGTTGATTGTAGCGAGCTCCGCTCCGATATATGTATTGTTAATATTATCTATTGTGATTTTAATACGAGAATGTGCTGGTGGCAGTGTTTTTGTTCGAATAGCTAGCACATTTTCAAG